GAGAGAGGAGGCGCTGGCGAGGGGCGGAGAGGAGGAGAACCGGGAGAAGCCGGGAGGCCGGACGGGTGGGCCGCAGGGAGAGGGACGGAGACTGGGACGGGGCGGGGGCGGTGTGCAGATCTGGGAGGCAGAAGTGGTCTGGGAAGGAGCAGATTGGAAGGACGGGGCTGGAGCTTGTAAACGTGCCCCGGAGGCGGGACAGGGACGCCTCGGGCAAGAGATAAGACGCGACGGTCCTTGACAGGGTCTTGCAAACACAGGACAGGAAACACCTCCGTCACTTGGAAGCTGAGAACAGACGAGTTCAGAAGCGACCTGAGATGAGGAAGCGGGAAGGGAGCGGGAGTTGTGGGGTTGCGAGAAAGGAGAGGAGCGGAGTGATTATTGAGGGGCTGGTGGATGTGGGCGCAGAGGGAGAAAGCCTGGGGTTACACTGCATGGATCTAACAGCAGCGTCTGACAGCAGCGTCTCTCATCTCTCGGGGTGATGGAGAGCACCCCGGCAAGGGGAGGACTGAACCGCGTGCACCTACAGTGCCGGAATCTCCAGGAATTCCTCGGGGGCCTGAGCCCTGGAGTGCTGGACCGGTTATATGGGCACCCTGCCACGTGTCTGGCGGTCTTCAGGTGAGGGGCGTCCCTCCTAGCAGGGGCTGGGAAGTGTAAGGGGGCCTGCGGACCACAGCAGTTATCACCGGGTCAGGGTCTTGTGGGGCGGCAGGACTGGTAAAGGTGTGCGGGAGATGAGTTTTTTTTTTTTTTTTATCTTTTTGAGGCAGGGTCTCGCTATGCAGTTCAGGCTGGCCTTGAGCTCACTATGTAGCTCAGGCTGGTCTCGAACTCATGACGATCCTCCTGCCTCAGCCTCCCGAGTGCTGGGATTATGAGATGTTTGAGAGATATGGGAGGGCAGAGATGCGGGTATAAAATAGCTGTTGATATTGATATTTGACCTCTACCACCTGCAGGGAGCTTCCCTCTTTGGCTAAGAACTGGGTGATGCGGATGCTATTTCTGGAGCAGCCTTTGCCTCAAGCTGCTGTAGCCCTGTGGGTGAAGAAGGAGTTCAGCAAGTGAGTCTCTACTGCATTCTCAGCCAGATGCAGATTTGCAACTGCTGGGTTTCCTAAAACGCTACTCCTTGGAATGCTTCAAGGAAATTTTGTGTGTGTGTATTTTTTTTCCCCTGGTGGCTGGTGCTGGGGATCTAACACGGCCTTGTGATGCATGCTGAGCACATGCTCTACCGCTGAGTACACCTTAGCTCCTCCAGGAAATATTAATAGGTATTTGAATTAAATACATTTGGGAAATGCATGTTTTCCCTCTTGGAGAGTTGTGATGTCTTATCTATAATAAGGGTCAGCTAGGTGTGCGGTAAAGACTTTTTTTTTTTGAGGCAGGGTCTCGCCATGTAGTTCAGGCTGGCCTTGAGCTCACTCTGTAGCCCAGGCTGGTCGAGAATTTGTAAGGATCCTCCTGCCTCAGCCTCCCGAATGCTGGGATTACAGGCGTGGGCCACCATACCCGGCTGACATTTATTTTAAGAAGATACACTCTGATCCTGTGGGAGTGTTCCCAGGATCACCAGTTCAGAAAAGGCAGAAACAGAGGCCCCTGGGCTTCCTTGTTCGTTTCTGCCACCCATCTCCCTGCTTCTGTTGCAGGGCTCAGGAAGAAAGCACAGGGCTGCTGAGCGGCCTCCGGATCTGGCACACCCAGCTGCTCCCTGGTGGTCTCCAGGGACTCATCCTCAACCCCATCTTCCGCCAGAACCTCCGAATTGCCCTTCTGGGTGGGTATGTTGCTTCTGTCTCTTCCTAAGCTAGGCTGGGGAACTGCTACATAAACTGCCGGAGTGGGAGCTCGTGAGGGGCCTCCCCAGAGCCTTGGGTTCCCACTTTGGGAGTTCTGTTAGGTGTAAGTAGGACCAGATGTGGCCGCCGGATGTAGGAACCGTGTCCCACTCATGGGGTGAGGGTGGGGAGGGCTGAGGGGCAGTGGGGAACGGACACACTCACCCTCGGCCTGTCCTGGCCATAGGGGGAAGGCCTGGTCTGATGACACAAGTCAGCTGGGACCAGACAAGCATGCCCGAGATGTTCCCTCACTTGACAAGTACGCCGAGGAGCGATGGGAGGTGAGGATGCGGCCTCTGTGCGTGCTGACTCCGCTGCTCCCTGTGGCCCCTGGAGGCCTCCGTCTCTCAGAACTCTTCTGCTCCTAGGTGGTCCTGCACTTTATGGTGGGCTCCCCCAGTGCAGCCGTCAGCCAGGACTTGGCCCAGCTCCTCAGCCAGGCTGGACTCATGAAGAGGTGAAGAAGCCTGAGCCACAGCAGCTCCCTGCTTCCCCGGTCCCTCGGGTGTCAGCGGCTGGGGGTGTGGCTCAGCGGCAGAGTTCCTGCCTAGCAGACACGACGGCCAGGGGTTGATCCCAGCACCACAAACAACAGAACAAAAACCAGACTGGGTGTTCGGGTGGCAGTTTAGGATGGGAGGGAACTGCCCGAAGAGGGAGCCAGAAATACCTAGGAAAGGGGCATGAGAGGGCAGGCGGGGGTGGTGGAAGTTCTCTGCTTCCCTCCACGGCCGTCCTTCTCTGTCTCCAGCGCTGAACCTGGGGAGCCCCCCTGCATCACCTCCGCGGGCTTCCAGTTCCTGTTGTTGGACACGTCTGCCCAGCTCTGGTACTTCATGCTGCAGTACCTGCAGACAGCGCAGGTGAGGAGGCCGGGCCCGCGCCAGCGACCACTGCGCACCTCGGGTCCCGCCGCGAGGAGCTTTGTTCCCTGCCTCTGTCCTGACCCTCCTGCGTCTCCCTGCCCCCCCTCTTCCTTGGGCCGTCCTCTCTCCCCAGAGCCGGGGCATGGACTTGGTGGAGATCCTCTCCTTCCTCTTCCAGCTCAGCTTCTCTACCCTGGGCAAGGTGAGCAGGGACTGGAGGACAGGGAAGGGACGGGGAAGTCAGGTCGGGTAAGAGCTGCCACAGAGCAAGCAGAGGGGGGAAAGAGGGCATGAGTGTATGGTCCGGGGAGGGCTGGGGTGTTGCTTGGACCCCAGCTGGCCTTCTCTCCCCAGGATTACTCTGTGGAAGGTATGAGTGATTCTCTGCTGAACTTCCTGCAGCATCTGCGTGAGTTCGGGCTTGTTTTCCAGAGGAAGGTATGAGTGCCCAGACGCCTGGCTGGGGGCGGCTGCGAGGACGGAGCACGCGGGTCCCGTGCGGGAGGAAGTTGAGGGTTAGGCTCTCTGTGCCAGAAGGGACCTGCTGTCCCAGGCAGGACGACAGAAGGCACCTGAGAGAGGGTCTGTCTCTTGCTCTGTCCTTCCCAGAGGAAATCTCGGCGCTATTACCCCACCCGCCTGGCCATCAACCTCTCCTCAGGTGTCTCTGGGGCTGGGGGCACCGTGCACCAGCCAGGCTTCATCGTCGTGGAGACCAACTACCGCCTGTACGCCTACACGGGTGAGGCCAGCGGCGGGGAAAGCAGTGGGTGGGGCTGGGGAGGGCAGGGGAGCAGGGGAAGCCAGTCTGTGTGCCCGTGGTCTGTGGACTTCTCTGACAGCTCTCGGTGCACTGGAAAGGTGGGGGGAGCTCCTCACCCGCTCCTCCTGTGCCCCATTCAGAGTCGGAGCTGCAGATCGCCCTCATCGCTCTCTTCTCTGAGATGCTGTATCGCTTCCCCAACATGGTGGTGGCACAGGTGACCCGGGAGAGCGTGCAGCAGGCCATTGCCAGTGGCATCACAGCCCAGCAGGTACTCCCACTTGGTGAGGCGGGGAGAGGGCGGGCTTGGGCTTGGGCTTAGGGAGCGGCCTGTCGTGGAAGGCCACACTCAGGGCTGGGTGGCAGGTGTGTACTGTCGGTGTTAGAGCAGCAGGCACACAAGGAAAAAGCAAAGCTTTAGGTGTAGGAGAGGTAGAGAAAATACCCTGCCTGTTCCGGGAGGACACGGGGAGGACACGTGCAGGAAGTGGGCACAGCTCTCGCTGTCTCTGCCCCCAGATTCCCGGCTGCGGAAAATGACGGGTCCCACCTCACCGGTTTGTTGTAGGATTCAGTGGAAGCTTAGAGGGAAGGCACTTAGCTCAGAGCCTGCTGAGCAGGGAGTGCTCAAAATAGCAGCTGCTGCTCCTGTAAAGAAAGAAAAACAAAACTATGGAAATAGCAAGTGTGCTGGAGGAGGAGGGCAGACAGGACCGGGGGAGGAGCAGGCTGGACCGCGGCTGGGCCGGCCCCCGGCGCCCTGGCTGTGGGTTTAAACAGCGAGCAGCTGCTCCAGCGATGTTAGGTGACCGCGCGGAGGGCTTCTCCGGCTTCTTGCTCCGGGCCTCACCCCGCTCTCCTGTCTGCCTAGATAATCCACTTCCTGAGGACGAGGGCGCACCCGGTGATGCTCAAACAGGTGCGGACAGGTGCCGAGATGCCGGCGTCTGGCGGCCCGGTCCCCGCCGGGGCGGTGGGAAGGAGAGGGGCGCCTCCGCCGCAGGGCCGCGGTGGTGGGGCTGTTTCCCTGAGTCCCTAGAGCCACCCTTGCCCTGCAGACGCCTGTGCTGCCCCCCACCATCACCGACCAGATCCGGCTGTGGGAGCTGGAACGCGACAGGCTCCGCTTCACCGAGGGTGAGAGGCTGCTGGTCCTGCTCGTGGGCACAGGAAGGGCGGGCGGTTCGGGTCCCGCTGAGCCGAACGGGCTTTTGTGCCCTTCATTCAGTTTTCTGTGCGGAAGCGGGCAGAAAAGCTGCAGACTTACTTAGGCTGAGTGGGTAGCGCTGACAGCGCCCCCGCAGAGCGGGTGGGTTCAGCGAGGCGGGGGAGGGCCTGTCCTTGGGCGCAGCAGGAACGTTGCGCGAGGGCCTTTCCGTGGCCAGATCACAGTGGGTGGACAGCGCCCGGCACGACAGGCTCAGCAGACGCGTTTGCCATCGCCCTGCTTCGCGCCGCGCCTCACGCGCGCCTCCCCCCGCCCGCCCCAGGCGTCCTCTACAACCAGTTCCTGTCGCAAGTGGACTTCGAGCTGCTGCTGGCCCACGCGCGCGAGCTGGGCGTGCTGCTGTTCGAGAACTCGGCCAAGCGGCTCATGGTGGTGACCCCGGCCGGGCACAGCGACGTGAAGCGCTTCTGGAAGCGGCAGAAGCACAGCTCCTGATTGCGGGGGAACTGGGCCTGGGCGGGACCGGGCGGGGTGCGCGAGCCGGCCACGGCGTGGCCTCACAACTCAGGTGTTTTTTATTTATATGCCAAGACACTTTTTGTGGAATAAAGCTGTCTAAAAAGAGCCGAGAAATAGCTCAGCGGCGTAGTGCCTGCCTGGCAAGCACAAGGTCCTGAGTTTGATTCCCAGTACCAAAAAAAGAAAAAGAAGAAGACTGTCTCAAAACAACAAAAAAAGTTTGCCGGGCATGGTGGCGCACCCCTGTAATCCCAGCATTCGGGAGTCGGAGGCAGGGGGATCGTTGTGAGCTCGAGACCAGCCTGGGCTACAAAGTGAGCTCAAGGCCAGCCTGAACTGCATAGAGAGACCCTGTCTCTAAAAGACAAAAAAAAAAGAAAAGAAAAGGAATAAAGCTCTCTGAAAGAGCTGCACGCCCGGGCTCCGCCCCGGGCTTCCCCTGTCCGCTGTGCACCGCCGCCAGAGGGCGCGAGGCGGCGCAGCTACTGCGCATGCGCCC